CAGCAGTAAGGAGGCAGCGTGGTGGAGTCAGGAGGTGCCTGGGCCCTGCAGTCACCTAGTCTGGATTCATGCCTGAACCTCATCACTTCCCAGCCACAACACCTGGGACCAATAACTGAGCTCACCTGTACTTCTCTGGCCTCAGGAGGGAGGAAAAGACCACAGTAGGAAGATCTGCCTCATAGAGCACCTTGCTGAGGGTTCAGTGTGATGTCTCTGCAGAGTGCTCAGCACACAGTAAGCCCTTGATGTGTGTTTATGCTGTTACTGTTACTGTCAGACTTACACATACTCACATTGCTGTTCAGGTGTGCAAAGGAAACAGAGTTTCTTAGCTTTTCCAGGACTGCTATAATATTCCTTAGCAGGCCCCCCTCTGCGCTGGGTAGTTGGGAAGGGAAGTTGTTAAATATGTCAATTAGGAGCATCTCAGTCTCTTCTGGTGTGAATTCTTTTGGGGTGACTCCATCTTGATCAGGTCATCTAGGACATCTTCCCTTCCCAATGCTTCTCACCAAAACTAGAGTCTATGTAAATGGAAGGCCAGGGCCTGGGATCCAGCACCCTGCCTTGGTTCTCACTTATCTCTGCCGTGGGGCGTGCCTTGTCTTGCCCTTGTGTTGGCTATGCTGACAGTAGTCCAGCCATCTGCTTCCGGATCTCCACAGCGCCACTGACCTTCCCAGCACCTCTGAGTCCCGTCTCCAGGGCAAACAGGAACTTTTGGATTCCTGCTAACCATGTGCTGGGATGCCCTGCCCCAGGCTCACTGACCTATGACCCCCCTCACCTCAGCCACTCTTTCACTGCCACTCTAGCACGGGGCCAAACATTGGGCATCTCCCAGGACGGTGGCTCCTATGGGGAAGGGGGCACAATTTTGCCTCCAGGAGACATTCGAGATATCTAAAGATGTCTTTGGTCATCGCAGCTGGGGAGGTGCTACTAGTACCCAGTAGGTAAAGGCCAGAGGTGCCACTAGACATCCTACAGGGCACAGGACAGCCTCACCAGTAAAGAGTCACCTGACCGAAATGGCAATCGTGCGCAGGTTGAGAAAATCTGTCCTAGAAGTTCCCAGCACCCCCAGGCCACTCTGAGGAAAGCGGCCACTAGAGTCAAGGTGCCCAGTTCTCCTGAAACCTACCTAGATGTTTCTACCACACAGCGCAGCCTCCCCTTCCCACCAGCAGGGCTGTTACTCTGATACTGGAGTAGGCGGGGAGGAAGGGACCCCAGCACCTTGCTCTGCCTGGCTCTCCTCTCCTCCCACCTCCCTGCGGACAGAAACGGCATCTCACCCAGCCCTTCCTGGGTGACAGAGATCCCCGCCCGCTCCCCCCACCCCCGCCCCAACAGCACTGGCGCCTTCTCCTTTCCAAGACGGCATCTTCCCTGGGGCCTTTTCTGGGGCCAAACAGTGGAGTGAGTGCAGGGAGAGAAGCTGACTCATCACTGAGGGAAGACAAAAGGAGAGGCATTTGGAGAGGACTCTATTGTACTTTTATTTACGTTTATAAATACGATATAACCAGCCGCTTTTCTCCTGTCAGGCAACGACTTGATAAAGTCTGCACTGAACTGAGTTGTACTCTACAGAATTTATTCCTACCCTCAAAAACAAAACAAACTAGGGGCAGGGACATCATTTTTCCTAGGCAGCCTACCTTCTAATATTGTTGGGCTGTTCTCTGAAGTTCTACTCGGACCGAAAGGAGCCCCTTTTGTAGGTCCATTCTTGCCTCTCTCCACTCCTGCCAGCTGAGCTGAGGGCCCACGCTGTGCTCTTTCAGCATCAGGCCTTCCGCGCACCAGTGGCTGCAGGTCCTCCTTTGCCTCGGGCCTGAGAGCTGCCTTCCTTGACTAGGGCGGTCCCGGGCCCGTGGTGACCTGGACAGCAGACCGATGACACACATAAGCTCTGTGGTGGGCCGTGGAGGTGGGAATGCGGGTCTTAACATTTGCTGGAGGTGGAACCAGGGGCAACTGACTTCCTCTCTCTGAACCTCAGTTTCCTTAACTGTAAAATGGAGATGATAATGTCACCACACAGGCAGTTGCAGTCGGCTCAGGCCCCCGTCACAGTTCACCTCAGGCTGAGTGGGCTTAAACAACAGAAACTCATTTTCTCACAGTTCTGGAGGCTGGAAGCCTGAGCGCAGGGTGCCAGCGTGGCTGGCTTCTGAGGATACCTCTCTCCTTGGCTGACAGACAGACAAGCTGTGTCCTCACATGGCCTTTCCTCCAGGCACATGCAGAGAAAGAGAGCTCTCTGGTGTCTCCCCATCCTTTTGTAAGGACACTAACCCCATCGTATTGCAGCCTCACCCTTAAGACCTCATTTAACGTTAATTACCTCCCTATCTCCAAACACCATTACGTTAGAGGTTAAGGCTTCTGCATAGGAGTTTACGGGAGAGAGGGACACAACTCAGTCCACTTAACTGGATTTCTTTAAAGATTGAACGAGATCATCCATGCAAAGCATTTGAACCTAGTAAGCACTCGATGTCTATCATCACTGTTGCTGCTGCTGTGAGGAGTACAGAGCACCACCGAGCCGGACAGCCGGCTCCACTGCTTGACACCCATTAGCAAAAGAGTTTACTGAGTAGGGGCCAGGGAAGGAAGACATGGGGCTGACATGCAATATCAGACCCAGACAGACAGGCACGAGAAAGAGCTCAGGGAAGGTGCTGAATTTCGCAGGAAGAAGCAGTAGATACCATACAAACGGTACCAGGTCACCGACATTGACGAAAAACAGTATTTGTTGATTTGTTCCACAAACATAAGAGCTGCCATTTATTTAACACTATGTGCAGAGCATTTTATGTACATTATCTCTACTCTCTCCCAACAACCCCAGCAGATGGGGAGATTAGGATTCAGAGAGGTGAATGGGCTCACCAAAGTCATACAGTGATTAACTGGCAGCTTGACGCAATCCCAAGCCTGGGCCGTCTTGTGCACAAGCTCAAAGCTGTGGGCATCAAGATCAGAAGCTCTAGTCTTTTCCTTTGAGTTGTTTGTCATTAAAGGAGGAGTTGGTCGCTAGCAACATGTTGTCACTGAAGCCAATCTAGAGACTCACCTCTTGCAGCATTTTGAAAGGGCCAGAAAAAATTCTCCATCCACCCTTAAACCTATGGAGCTGAGAATTAATATATGAGCTAGGGAGATAAAGGGATTAAGGGGATTGCCTAACCAGTAATTCACTCCAAAATTCAGTGGATCGAAGCAATAATCATTTATTCTTGCTCATAGGTCTGCAGGTCAGCTGGGTATTGGCTCATCTGGGCTGGGCTCAGCTGAGTGGCTCTGCCTTGAACTCTAGATCCAGCTGCACTTGGCTCCCAGCTGCAGGTTCCCTAGGTATTCATCCAGGCCTCAGGTAGAGAGGTAGCGGCTACCTGGGGAAGGCTCTTCTCAGAGATGGGAGCAGTGATGCCTCTTAAGGCCCAAGTGCAGAACTGGCACATGGTCCCTGCCACCCCACACGCCCTTGGCCAAAGCAAGTTTCCAGCAGTGGAAAAGTTGACTCTGCCTTTGAGGGGCGGGGGGAGGAGGGCCACATGGTCAAGGGTGCGGACCAAGAATTGAGGCCAAATAATTCCGTCTACCAAAGACATTTTCTGACTTGGATAGGGAGTGGCTAACATTGAGGGGGTGGAGTGGGCAGAGAAGGTCTATAAAATCCCACTAACTTTCAAAAGATTTGCCAGAAAAAAAATCTGCCTCTGAACAAAACCGCACATTTCCTCATTTCTCCAACTGAGATCATGAAAGCCAGATCCTCCCACCCTCCCACTTTCCTTTTCCTTTTCCTTAAAAAGTATACAAAATTATAGGATGCCAGAATATTAGGCAAGCCTGGCTAAAAAGAGAGATCCCTCCAGTCTTAAGTTTCAACCATCTAGAAAAGTAGTGTTTGGCAAACAACTGTGAAAAAAAATGTGTCTTTCTGCATCAGGGGCTCAGGAGCCCCATTTGGTGTTTTATCTAAGGTGTAGACCCGTTTAATCTACAAGCACACAGACACCAGCCTAACTGCTTGACAAATAAGAACAAGTATGCTAATAAAACAGAAAAAAAAAAAAGGAAAGACCTGAGAAATGTAAATCTGAAAGGACTGGGGCCAGATTTTATTGCCGAAGTCAGGGGAGGCCTCCAGCCGTATCACATTACTGGATAAAGCTGTATTTACATTTCCCTGTGTTAGCTCAGCAGTTCTAATGATGGGGTTGTATTTGAACTGGGGAGACACAGTTCCTTCCAATAGAAAGCTGGATTGCTCTGTCTTTTCAATAGAGATCTACCCCTCTTCCTCGGCATCATCTTCTGCCCTCTGTTGTATTCAGACCAGCTCCACAACGCCAATGTTTGGTTCTCAGGAAGCAGGGACACTAGGGGAGCTCTTTCTTGGGGTCCTTGCAGCACCTGGGTACCCTCCTGCTCCTGATCTCTTACGGACTATAGGAAAATCCTTCACAGAGTTTAGTGCACAGGTCAACATCCAAGATGACTTTTTGCCTCAAACTAGAAGGCCTACAGGGTTATGCAGCCCTGAATTCCAATCATCAAGGAGTTACAGATCTCTTGCAGTGTGCCTGGCACTGATGCAAGGCCAGGGAAGGTAGCAAAGGAAGGAAAAAATGCATAGTCTCTGAACAGAAAGTATCTATCCACGTATTGGGTTCTGAGCTGCTGTGACTTCAGTTGCACTACAGCTGGGGAGCAGAGGGTTAAGAGTTTGGGGCTTTGCTTATAAAAACACAGCCCCAAATCAGATAAAATAACTAATTTAAAAGCAATTATAATGCATTTTATCCTATTCTTTTGCCAAAGAGCACCTTCTTGGAGTTTCCTTTTCTCTTTACTTTTCCTTTAAAGTCTCAAAAAAAGAAGAGGCACAGACCAAGCAGATTGGAAAAGGGAGTGATGAGCGCCCCAGGTGCCCACATTGTGCTGAAGAGAGAACTTTTGGATCCAACACTCACCAGGTCTCAGGGTTGGACAGACTCACTCAAGTGTGCCCGACCAACCTCACGTTCTGGTGGGGAGTTTTTTTCTCCATGAACATATGGATTGTATTAGTGTTTAGCAGGCAGCTAAGTAAAAAAAAGAAAGAGAGAAAACAACAACAACAAAATAGAAAACAAAGTTAAAGTACAGTACTTTTTTGTATTGAAGTATAGTCAATTATAATGTGTCAATTTATGGTGTACAGCATAATGTTTCAGTCATGCATACACATACACATATTTGTCTTCATATTCTTTTTCATTATAGGTTACTACAAGATATTGAATATAGTTCCCTGTGCTATACAGAAGAAATTAGTTTTTTATTTATTTTATATATAGTACTTAGTATTTGTACATCTCAAAGTATGTTTTATTATATTGAGGCCAAGTTCCATTTTCTGTGTGTGCAATTAATACATAGTCCCTGGTTTAAAAATACATCATTTTTCAGGATAAATAAGCACTGTTATCTAACACAATGGTTCTCAAACTCTTAGATGCATAAGCATCCCCCTTGGGATTTGTTAAAAATGCAAATTTTAATACAAGAGGCCCAGAGAATAGCCCAGGAAGCTCCATGTTTAGTCCTCTCTCCAAAAGATGCGGTTCGTGGTAAACAGGACTCTGAAAAGCACTGACCTACCCACCTGTCTGGTTTACTTTGGTTTACTCTGATGTCACTTGGGGGCATGGCCTATTTCTGACTGTACTCGTGAATGACAGGGCATTGCCTCTTCCAGCTTTTCAGAAAGCATTTCCCTCACCCTGGCTACCTGCATTCTTTGTTGGTTCCAGATGAGCAAGACATCACCTGGGTTGTAAGAGAGGCAGGCACGAACCACTTTATCCCAAGATCCAGAGCACAGCATGGAGACATCTAGACCAGTGGTTCTCAACCAGAGTGGCAACATCCAGAGACATGTGTGGTTATCACAGTCTCAGGCCTGGGGGGCAGTGAGGAAGGATGCTGCTGCAATTGGTGAGTAGAGACAGAGATGCTGCTGAACAGCCTACAGTGCATGGGATAGCCACTGATAGCAAAGTGATCCCACGCAAAATGCTAACCATGCCGAGACTGAGAGACTCTGTTTAGACCCAGCTGTTCTTCACAGGGAACTCAGAGAGTTTACACCCCTTCTCCATGTGCTCAAAAGGCACATTGAGCCCAGATGGGGGAGGGTCTTGAATGCCAGTCTTAGACATATGGGCACTGTTCCATATTTAGTGAGCTTTGAAGAGTAAAGAAAATCACCTGTTCCTACAAAACAATTAGCCCAGAGGAGACTAAGTCATGATAAGTCAATGCAAAATAAACAGTGCTCCATAGACAGGCGGATGTTGAATTTTGACACAAAGGAAACCACATCATAGTGGATCAGTGACTCTGATTGATTTTAGAAATTTATTTTTTAGCACAAATTCATTAAGATGTGGTCAGAGACATGGGCAAAATAGCACAGTCCCTGCCCTTATGAATGGAGCTCATGTCTCCACCAAGAGCCATGAGGTAGAACAGAGAGAAGTGGACTCAAAATGGAGCCTTTGAAACCAGAGTCAATGGAAGAGGGAATCCTGAATCTCCTGATGGACAGGGGGTAGGTGGGCACAGGAAGAACTGGCAAAGCTTTGTGATAGTTTTTAGCTTAGTCTTCAAAATAAGGATGAGTTTGATGGAAGCCATGGACACAAGGCTATTCAAGTAATGATTCAGGGGCAAATAAGTGGAGGGTGACATTGGTGTTAGGGGAGGGCGGTGGTTCCAGAAGGGTGAATACAAAGGTTTCACTGAGATGTGAGGGAGAGAACTGAGGTTGGCCCAGTTTGGAAGCTGACTGCTTGGCTAATGCACACGGCTTTATTCTGTGAGTAATAAAGGACCACTCAGGTCATAGGTCCCAGAGGCTCTAACCTCTACTCCAAACTCTGTGGCTCTAAACAGTTCTTGGGCAGAATCAATAGGTATACGGACATATCCTTGCCCTGGGGGTCTAGCCCCATGCCTTCGCCTCCTGCTCAGGGTCCATTTTCCAGCTGCAGACTAAGCTTTCTGGGAGACCTGCTGGACACTGAACTGGATGACAGGTGGGAGCCTTAGGCTGTTTGCAGGTCATAGCAGGAGTATGAGGGAGAAGAATTTCTAGCTTACACAAAAACATCACCATCCTGAGCAGCCCTTCTGGCTCTCATTAATCCCAGGACCTCACAGACCACGTCTCCTTCTTCACATAGCCAGCCCTCTGCCGTCAGGGTGGAGCTAGTTAGAGATAAGTTCACTGCCTGTGCCATTGGGCTGGGGCAGTCTGCACTAACTCTAGGCAGTGGAGGCTGATTTTTGGCTAGGTGGCTTCATCTAAGCCATCCTCAATCTTTAAAATTAGCAAGTAATTGCTGAAGAAAAAGTGTAAATGTGAAAGGCAGATTTTATACAATTATGAGAAGAATGAATAGAAGATAGCACCACAAGTGAGAGATAGCTCCCTGGATAAGGAGAGTCTGAGAACCAAACCAACAGAGGAGATCTGTGATGAAGGATGAACGGCTGGGGAGCAGCTTCCATGTACCTGAAGCCATGTTTCAAATTGTGTTCCACCAGATTCAGTGGAGTTCCCTGAGCCTGAATTAGATGTTTTGTAAAAACAACTCCAGGAAAACAGTGTGGAGAAAGTTAGTTTTAAAAATCTTTAAAATAGAATTACCATATGATCCAGGAATCCCACTCCTGGGCATGTATCCGAAGAAACTCTAATTCAGAAAGATATATGCATTCCAGTGTTCACAGCAGCACTTTTTTTTACAATAGCCAAGACATGGAAGCAACCTTAATGTCTATCGACAGATGACTGGATAAAGAAGATGTGGTACATACATATAATGGAATATTACTCAGCCATTAAGAAGAATGAAATAATGCCATTTGCAGCAACATGGATGGACCTAGAGATGATCATACTAAGTGAAGTCAGACAGAGAAAGACAAATATCATATGATATCACTTACATGTGGGATCTAAGAAAATGACACAAATGAACTTACAAAACAGAAACAGACTCACAGACATAGAAAACAGCATGGTCACACAAGAGGAAAGAGGATCACAGAGGGATAAATTAGGAATTTGAGATTAGCAGATAGAAACTACTATATACAAATTAGATAAACAACAAAGTCCTACTGTTCAGCACAGGAAACTATATTCAATAACTTGTAATCATAAGCAAAACAAAAAGACAACCTCAGAATGGGAGAAAATATCTGCAAATGATGTGACTGACAAGGGCTTAATTTCCAGAATATATAAACAGTTCATACACCTTAATAACAAAAAAACCAAACAACCCAACCTCAAAATAGGCAGAAGACCTAAATAAGCAATTCTCAGTGAAGACATACAAATGGCCAATAGGTACATGAAAAAATGCTCAATATTGCTAATTATCAGAGCTAATTTGCAAATCAAAACTACAATGAGGTATCACCTCAAACCAGTCAGAATGGCCATCACTCAAAAGTCCACAAATGATAAATGCTAGAGAAGGTGAACCCTCCTACACTGTTGGTGGGAATGTAGTTTGGTGCAGCCTTTATGGAAAACAGTATTGATTCCTCAAAAATTAAAAATAGATTTACCATATGATCCACCAATCCCACTCCCGGGCATATACCTGGAGGGAACTCTAATTTGAAAAGATACATGCACCCCAGTGTTCATAGCAACACTATATACAATAGCTAAGACATGGAAACAACCTTAATGTCCATTGACAGATGACTGGATAAATAACTTGTGGTATATTTATATGATGGAATACTACTCGGCCATAAAAAAGAATAAAATTTGCAGCATAAAAAACTCAGCCATTTGTAGCAACATGGTTAGAACTGGAGATTACCATTCTAAGAGAAGTAAGCCAGAAATAGAAAGAAAAATATCATATGATATCACTCATATGTGGAATCTAAAAAAAGAAAAAAAGACACTAATGAATTTATCAACAAAACAGAAATAGAGTAACAGACATAGTAAACAAACTTATGGTTACCTGGGGGAAAGGAGGCAGGAAAGGATAAATTGGGAGTTTGAGGTTTGCAAATATTAACTACTATATATAAAATAGATAAGCAACAAGTTTCTTCTGTGTAGCACAGGGAATAAATGCAATATCCTGTAGTAACCTATGATGAAAAAGAATATGAAAATAAATATATGTATATATGTGAATGACTGAAACATTATGCTGTACACCAGAAATTGACACAACATTGTAAACTGTCTATACTACAATTTTTAAAAAATGACCACAAAAAACTTGTAATAACGTATAATATACATACACATGTATAACTGTATCACACTATGCTATACACCAGAAACTATACCACATTGTAAATGGACTATACAGCAATAAAAAAATCAATCAAAATAATAAAAAGTAAAAATAAAGCCATAATCAAGTAAGCTTGGGAAATTCCAAGTAATACCTCATGCCTTCCATAGCCTCCCAGGAAGTTTCCAAGTACCCCTGCAGAGCAGCACCCTAAATGCTCCAGGGGAGACATCTAGGGGAAACTGAGGGGGGAAATGTGTTTTCCTTTGATCAACTCAGATCTTCCAAATGAATTTATTTTACTCAGGGGATCTTTTCATTTATTTTGTAAAAACAAACCTACCAACATTTCATGGGTACTTAGGCATATAACAAGTACTTACCATGTAGTGGGTTCTGCTCCAAACACTTTACAAAGATTAATTCATGCAACTCTTGAAACAGACCAAAGAGGCAGGCAGAACTGGTTTATTCTGCAGGTGAGATACACAGTGGAGACCAGGGTGGGCAGGGAAGGCAATTTGCCTGTGTCATCCAGGCAACAAGGCTCCACAGCCTAAGTTTTTTAACCAATACCTGGAACATGATGGGGAAAATACAATGTACCAGAAGGGCTGTCCTGGGATAGAACATGGAGGGAAAGTGGCTTTTGTGTTGAGAAGCTCCCTTATCTGTTCGTGCTCCTTCTAGGGACCCCACTGTTACCTATGCTTTGGTTTAACAAACCTTCTCTATCATCATGGCCACAGGCAAAAGCAGGAA